GCCCGAAATCTCGTCGTAAACCGACCGCCTGACGCTTAATTCTTCACGACTTTGACTCAGGAAGCCCAAACTCACTGTCTTACCTAGCTCCACTTTACCCGTGTAACGGAGTTCACGTCGACTGGTAGTCGACAATAGGTGTGATACACACAAGGGATGGGATCCCCTTTAAAGTAATATTAGAACACAAGTATCACCTGTTGAAGACTGATGTCTGTCAACCATTGATTACGAGATCTTTTAATAGGTTTATCTAGGACGTAAGTGAGTAGGTTAATTACTTTATTCTAAGGTGTTCTTTTAGGTTAAAAGGAGAAACAAAATTCGGCTACCATTTTGATCGAAAAAAGCCACACGCCTCTCTGAGGCGTCTTGTGATCGTATGGAAGTAGAAACGCCTTGTAAAGGCAGCTACTCCTTGTGAACTCAGTGCGTTTGATTCTTTGAATCGTTTGGTCCCCCTGGAACAGGGACCGTAAGCTCTCTGATCTTGTTGACTCTTTGAGTCGGGTTCGTCGAACCAAACCTTAGCTCTCGGAGCTGTTGACTCTTTGAGTCGGGTTCGTAGAACGAAATTTGCTCATTGAGCGTTAAGTCTTCCTCTGACTCAAGGAGCTGTGTGGCTCCGATGCACTTGGTAGAACTTGTAGTAAATCTACGCCTGGGTCGGTACCGATTGATCCTCTGTGAGGATGTAGCAATCCACACCCCTCTCCCAGACCCATAAGGTCGCGCTTGATAAGCTGACCGCGACCAAAGGCCCAGAGTATGTGGAGTTTTTAGCTGCACAAGGTCCCGATGTGCTCAATGCAAGAGTGGAGACCTTCATACAGTATGAAACGGCTCTTTTAGGACAGGTTCAAAACCAAGTAGCGTCTGATATGCCAACACGCTTTGTGGCAATGCCATCAGAAGAGGCTAAGCCTCGTCCCCTTCGGGTGGACGTTAAACATTACTCCAGGACGGATGGGGAAAACTTGACCCTATGGATCCGTGAGATAGCGATGGCCATGAGCTCTGGCCTTATCTCACTTGAACCCCAGCGAGTCTCGCTGTCCAACTCTAAGCTCGGTGGGAGAGCTCGAAAGTGGGCTCTGAGTTGCAGCACGTCGGTCGACTTGGCGTTTCCCTCATTGGATTCGCTCAAGCTAGACCTTTTGCGAGTTTTCTCGCCGCCTAACCAGGCCTATCGCGTACGCTCACGCTTCTTGTCTATTCGTCAGGGTAAGAATGAGTCAACGGACTATGTCCAAGCGTTGAGAACTCTGATGGCTGCTATGCAGTCTGACCATCTCCCCGAGACAGTCTATGTGACTGTCTTCATGGAAGGTCTGCGCAATGGCGTTGCCAGTACCGAGGTCTTTCGGGTCCATTCCTCTACTTTTGAGGAAGCTGTTAACACCGCTCAAAATGCTGAGCACAAGTTCAAGTCGGCCAGACTAGGCTGGAATTAGTACAATCCAATCTTTGCGAGGGCAACCTCACTCAACATCTTGACTTACTGTAAGCCTGAACCGATTGATCTCAGCCATGCTGAAGATGAAGGTGAAGCGGAGCTTCAGGTTGCGGAGCAACAACAGAAAGTGAAACGCTGTTACATGTGCGGAAGCACTTAACACCTGCGCCCCACTTGTCCTTTGCGCAAGAAGCACCAGACTCCCACGAGTCGAAAGCCCGGCCCCAACCAGAAGTCTGGTATGGCACGAGTAAACATCGACACCCAGTAGGCTTGGGGTCTCTACTGGGGTGCCCTACTGGGGTAGAACTGAGTTCTGTTGCTTTGCTACGAGGTATAGTGAAACAGGGCTTAGCCTCACCGAGCTATGTGCCCACCAGCACAGAACGTGGATACAAGTCTGGCCTGTTAGTCGCCGAGGCGAAGTTTAAAGGATTTAAGAAGCATTGGTCGATCCTAATCGACCCCAAAGCATCATGCAATGATGCTCGACGTCGTTCCTTCGAGGGAAGTCAGCGATATGCTGAAGCGCTCAAAGCGCATCAAAGTGATTCGATCACCGTTTGTTTAGCGACTAGTAGTCGCGTCACGGTGCCTAAAGTTCCGTTGAACTTGGGTGTGAAGTTTTTGGACTTTGAAAGCATTGAACGCTGTCTTGTCCTCGATTTGGATTCAAGATATGATCTCATCCTGGGTATGGCTTAGCTTGAACGCCATGATTCATGGACTGTTTGAAGGTCTAGGACCTTAGGCGCCACGCGCAATGTTCCTAGCGAAGCTTTGGAGAGTCATGAACCCACCTTTGCTAGGCAACAAAATCACTTTTGGCGCGAGCCATCGACGGAAGATGTATATGTGCTGGACATTGGTATGTCCGAGTTTAATATCTCCAATGTCAATGACATCCATATTGAGCGGAGCTCTTTCACCGTATGTGAAGGGAGTTATACTCCGTTCGTTGTGATACTGAGTCACTACATGCTGCAGGCATGATTGGCTTAGGGCTGAGACATCAAGAATGTAATTCCTCTGATGTGAGTGGGGTGGCACGTGAAATTCCACCGAGTGAGGGCGGCCGAGGTGGCACCTCACTGAATGTCGATAATGACATTGATGGCGAGAATTCAGAGCGTTCAGGGCTAGGCCCGGATGCTGCACGTGAAGTGGTACGTGTCAATCTACTGGGTGAAGTGTTCGAGTTACGCAACACTTCACCAGATGTCGTTCAAGGCATGAGCTCCCGTATAGAGCATTCTAATATAAATAGCAACCACAGGGACCCTACTGTACCGGCCTCTAGGAGGCGTGAGAATTTCTTTCAGGAAAAAATCCCAGCGTAGGGTGGCAAATGCTAAGCGCCCAGCGTCTAAGCAGTCACGAAGTGATAATAGTAATAATACACTATATAAACTTGTCAATGGGTTGACTGGCCAGATTGATGGTAACATTAGCCTTGAGACTCTTCCATCCTTGAACGCTCTTTTTGAAATCGACGAATCGTCTGCTGGCAAAGTCAGCCAAGCCTTACAGACAGGAGAATTATCCGAGTTAGTGGTCATCCGGCCGGATATTGAGTTAAACTCATCCTCGTTGTTGGACGAATCTGTCCCTGAGGACACAAGGGTGGCACTGGATGCCCGTAGTGGATCTTCGATCCTAAAGGATCCTCTTGATCCGTTATATGCTTTGGTAAAGGAGTTTCAGGACGTGGTGTGTCACAACCCACCGTCCTTCTTACCTACCGATAGAGGTGTACGTCATGAAATTGACTTGGTTCATGGAACTAAATACTGCGTAACACGGCAGTGGCCTTTACCGGAAGAACCGTAGGACGTCATTGACGACTTCTTTCGTGCAAAGCACGCGGCAGAAATGGTACGTGAGAGCAAATCTGCCCATTCCACACCGACCTTCTGTGTCAAAAAGCCCAACGGGAAGTGGTGCATTGTTCATGCTTACAATAAGCTCAATGCGGCCACTATCCCGGCTCAGACACAAATTTACGAGGTATGATGTTCTTAAGTACCACAAGGTGGGATGAAAAATGTACAGTGCGCTTGACTTAGTCGATTATTAGTACCAACTGATCATGCGAGAAAGCGATATTCCGCTGACAGCGGTCAGCACTCCAAGCGGAATGCTCTGGGAGAGACTTGTTTTTTTGCAAGGATTATCAAATGCCCCGGCTTTATTCAAATGTCTTGTAACACAATTGTTCAGACCTCACAGAGGATACGCACAGACGTACTTTGATGACATCTTTGTCCATAGTCGTGCTATGAACGGTCGGAAAGATGTGGAAAATCAAATTGACCATGTGCGAACGGTGCTCGAGTGCATGCGCACGAATAAGTTGTACGCCAACGCGTCTAAGTGTATCTTCGGTGCAGAAGAGATTTTCTTTGTAGGGTGCTTGATTGGTAAGCGAGTCCTTAAGGCGGATACCGCAAAGGTAAAATCCATAGTTGATTGGCCGGTTCCTAAGAATCGAAAGGACTTACGTAAGTGGCTTGGCCTTGCCAATTACTTACACAAGTACAGTGCGAATTACGCAGGAATGGCTCGGCCATTATCCAATCTCTTTACAAAGGATGGTAACCGTGCTGGACTAGCACCGAGCATGATGCTTTTCAAGCAGTAAAGGAGATTCTCCTTCATGCGACAATCTTGGCTTTGCCTGATCCTGATCGATCTTGTAGTGTCGTCTGTGACGCGTCTGACTTTGCCATATGCAGAGCTATGTTGCAAATCGATGTCGAGGAACGGGAACGCGTCATTGCGTTCACGTCTCGACACCTTAAAGCTGCTGAAAAAATACCCAATCCATGGCAAAGAGTTACATGCAATGACGTATGCTCTTGTCAATTTCAGAGTTCACCTGCTTGGCTCTGAGCTGTTTGTGATCTATACAGATCATGCGTCATTGCGCACTGCGACCTAGTCGCCTCACCTCTCTCAAATATTGGCTCGTTGATTTTCCTTCTTTTCCTACTACACCTTCGAGGTGAAGTATAAGCCGGGCCAGCAGAATGTTTTGGCTGATGCGTTGTCACGCAAGTCTGACTATGAGCTTGCTCATGTTACGACTCTGCCGTCGTCGGTCACTGATCTAATTGGTACGGTATATGCCAAAGATAAACACTGTGTAGCTCTGCTACGTGCTCTAGGAAGCGTGGAGTTTAAGGACTCAGACATGTAATTTGTCGGCACGATTACGTGCGAGGTTACATCGATATTCTATCTATCAAGGCCTGTTGTGCTATAGCACGGATGTGGAGGATACCCCTCGCATCGTTGTACTTCACGATGAGGAGTTGAAGTATCGGGTCCTCTATGAGGCACATGATAATGCGTTGAGTGGTCATCTCGGTCGTAGAAGACCTACGGCTCAGTTAGCTAATACTATTGGTGGCCCAAACTATAGAAATGAATGAGCACATATGTGCGTACGTGTGAAACGTGTAAGCGGGTGACACCCTCATCTCACGCGGCCGCGCCGCTGGCTAGTTTGCCTATACCCAAAAGGTGTTGGGAGTCCATCAGTATGGACTTCATGTTTCGATTACCGAAGGATTCATATAGAAATACGGGTATTGTGGTCTTTGCTGACCGTTTGAGCAAGATGACTCATTTAGTAGTGGTGCTAGATACCATGGATGGTGTAGGTACAGATATGCTGTTTATTGATCGCGTGTTTCGACAACACGGTTTGCCGTTGGCAATTGTCTCTGATAGCGATCCTCGCTTCACTGGGAAGTTTTGAAATCTATCTTCAAGGTGCTCGGCACACGCTTGGAAATGTCCACAGCGGATCCCACCCAGACCGATGGTCAAACCGAGCGAGTCAATCGCGTTATCGGTGATATATTACGCAGTGTTTGCGCTAATACACCAAAACGTTGGAGTTCAATGCTTCCTGTTGTTGAGTTTGTGTTGAATAACGCCGTGCATGCCTCCACCGGCTACACATCGTTCAATGACAATGGTCTCGCACACCCTCGCGTTCCGTTTACGCTACCTCTACGTGGTTCAGGGCTTGGTGGGGGGAGAGATGGCCGGTCGGCTTGCTGATATCAGCCCTTCTACTGTTCAAAAACAGGTAAGCGAGTTTCTCGCAACGCGATTGAATGCCTTACGACATGTGTGTGACGCACTGGCTAAAAGCCAAGACAAGCAGAAGGAACAAGCTGGTGCTAAAGGCAGAAGTTGTATTGAACGTTATGAGGTCGTAGACCAAGTTCTACTTCATGCTAAAACCTACCTACAAATGTAGTGTCTGCTGTCTTCAAGACAAAGTTGCGTCCGCGCTTCATTGGACCATTCACGGTCGTCGCCAAGAAGGGCCTTGCGTATACGCTCAACCTTCCGCGCAAACTGCGCACACACCCCGTGTTCTACGTTGGCTTGCTTAAGCCGTATCGGGATCCATCCCACGTGAACTTGGAGGCGCTTGCACCGCGTAAATTGGCCTTGCCATCGGTTGCTAAATCCGTATCAGGATGTCAAGCTGAGCCTCCATCCGGGCTTGGCCCTACTCCAACGCCTGAATACGGACTCGCATCGCGTCAAACGCACTCTGGGTCTTACCCAATGTCTAAAGGAGACCACTCAGCTCGAGAAGCACCTTCTAATGCTTCTCCTTCGGTATACCGACCACCTCCGACGCTGCTCGATGAGCAAGGGCACCGCCAGTTCGATGTGGAGCGACTCCTGAAACGACGTCATCGTCAGGGTCAATACCAGTATCTGGTGAAGTGGCGAGGGTACCCGGAGTCGGAGAACTCGTGAGAGCTTGAGATACCCTTGTAGGATTTCCTATACGCCGTTGATGTTTTTGAACGTCGTGTCAGGGGTCATCCCTCGACCGGAAGCGCTTCTAATCAATAGTGCTGGAGGCAGGTGGGTAGTTGGGTACCGCTTGACCAACACCCACATCAATCGGAACAGCCGAAGCGTAGCGTGTGCAAGCTCGCAACTGGCCTCTGGCCTTAAGCTTGGTATAATCATACCGAAGCTTTCGTTTTGGACGAACATCTGCCACATCGGCACTTGCTCTAAGAGCTAACCCGCTGCTGAGGTGTCGTTTCCGATGCACCCAGCGAGCAAAGGGTTGTCTTCTTACTCCTGAGTTTTGCCTGCGAATAAGAGGATGGGTATACCCCTCTTCGGTGGAACCGGTGCACCCTGTGCTTGCGTGTCAAGTCGCAACTTATATTGACTTTGAGTAGTCAAGTAAGGTTGCAGGTACCTCTCGCGAAGTGCCTGTCGACTCATCACCTCATCAAAAGATGTTGGCTCAGCGTTAATAAACACACGTTGCCATAGAACGACCTGCAGTTTGGCGTATACGCTCTTCCACATTGAGTGGTGTGAACAGATAGCCACTACGACCCTCAAGGCTTGCAGCAAGCTAAATACAGCGATGAGCGCGCTCCTCTCGTTGGATAGACAAGTGTTGTTGATCATCGAGCGGATAAGTGATGATGGCATCGCCCACGTTAAGTGTTTAATGCGGCGCCGATGGCGCGTTGTCTTCGCCACGCTCGGCAAATGGGTTTGGTGCAATATGAGGCGCTGCCTATTGCACTGGTGCGTCGGACATTGTCCTCTCGTCACCATGGATATCGGTATCGCTACCATAATCCACATCCACATCGATGCTAAGGTAAGACGAGTGAGTCGAGGACTCATGGGGTGGCGATGCCATTTTGTTTTTTGTTTTGCCACCCGTAAGGTTGAAGCGGACACACACCGTCCTCTTCGAGGAAAGAATTCGATTGACGTTTTGTGGAAACGTCAGTCTGGTGGGGAAGGTTGTAACGGATTTACACGTCGACTGGTAGTCGACAATAGGTGTGATACACACAAGGGATGGGATCCCCTTTAAAGTAATATTAGAACACAAGTATCACCTGTTGAAGACTGATGTCTGTCAACCATTGATTACGAGATCTTTTAATAGGTTTATCTAGGACGTAAGTGAGTAGGTTAATTACTTTATTCTAAGGTGTTCTTTTAGGTTAAAAGAAGAAACAAAATTCAGCTACCATTTTGATCAACAAATGACACGAGCCTCTCTGAGGCGTCTTGTGATCGTATGGAAGTAGAAACGCCTTGTAAAGGCAGCTACTCCTTGTGAACTCAGTGCGTTTGATTCTTTGAATCGTTTGGTCCCCCTGGAACAGGGACCGTAAGCTCTCTGATCTTGTTGACTCTTTGAGTCGGGTTCGTCGAACCAAACCTTAGCTCTCGGAGCTGTTGACTCTTTGAGTCGGGTTCGTAGAACGAAATTTGCTCATTGAGCGTTAAGTCTTTCCCTGACTTAAGGAGCTGTGAAGCTCCGCAACCACCCGCATCTGGCTCATCGATCCCCGCAAACACATTCAGCAGCGTGAACTTTTACATGCCATTTCCATTAATTGTACCGACAATCGCATGAAGCGGAATCTCAAATGAGAGCTTATCAAACAGCACACGGCCATCGTCCAGTGTTTCACGCAAGTTGTTCACCTTGATCACCTTGTTACCCAGACGCGAGCCCGACGGCACGACGATTTGTCCTTCGTCGATCCGTGCTGACGTTCGGAAGCCACTGGACTCCATGTCTTGTAGTTTCTTCACACGCGCTTTGTTGGCCTTCTTACTTCCTTGGTGCTTGTGCCCAGGCAATTTCAGATGCAATTTGTTTTGCACGGACAGCATCGCCCTTTCGCTGCATGTTCAAGCGATTACGACGCTGTGTGATCCACGTAGTGTAATTGCCTTTATACGCGTACGTTTCGTCTCGATCAAGTTCCAAGACCCAGCCAGCAACGTTTTCCAGACCGTAGCGATCGCGCGTGATCGACAGTACGGTGCCACGGTACTTTTGCAAAAACTCTTCCAACCAATGAACCGACTCGGCATCCAAACGGTTGGTCAGTTCGTCCAGAAGCAACATGTCTGGTTTCTCAAGCAGTAACCTACACAATGCCACACGTTGTAGTTCGCCTCCTGACAGCACGTTCACGTCCGTCTCTCGTGCTGGCACTTTCAGTGCTGCCATGGCCTTCTCGACTTCACGACTCAAGTCCCAGCAATTCAGGTGCTCAATCTTGTCCTGGAGAGTCGCTTGTTGAGCTAAGAGCGCGTCGAGATCGGCATCGGGCTCACCCATGGCCATCGACACATCGTCAAAGGCAGCCAAGAGCTCCTGACTCTCTTTCAAGCCGTCCATGATGTTGTCGTACACGTTTTTGCTCTCATCGAGCTGTGGTTCCTGTGGCAAGTAGCCCAGTTTCACACCCGGTTTCAGCCATCAATCGCCGTCAAAACCGTTCCGAACGCCGGCAATGATTTTCAAGACCGTCGACTTGCCACTGCTATTGGCACCCAAGATACCGATCTTTGCCCCTTGGATGAAGCCCAAGCTCGCGTGCTGGAAGAGCTTTTTGACGCGGGAAATGGTCAGTCCGACATAGCGCAAGTGACACACAAAGTCTCCAGGAACACCACTCCCTGCATTCTAGACGACGATGATCATGAGCGCGTAAGTGATGGAAATAAACAAAATACTACCTTAGTGTATGCACATAGATCAGGTCCGTGGGCCGAGTGGACAGGCCATGAATGAATGTATCGAGTAAGGAATTGCCTTACATTGGCGTGATTCGCATCATGAATAAAGTCGAAGTACTGGGTTCACCCACGGTCAACGTGTTATTGAGGCAATGACCTCGCGATGAAGAAGACTATTGTGATGCTGCAGTGTGCGACTAAGGCAAAGATAGCTGCAGATATGTAATCATAATCATTTCTGGTGTAACTTCCCGATGCAGTTTTGGGGCCCTTCATTTGCTACACCTTCGTCTTAGACACATGTCATCCTTCCTTGGCTTCGCTTTCCATGGCGAGTATCAGTCTGTTACCATGTTTTCAATGCGCAAGTATGCTTGTACTTGAGAGTGGTCGCCAACAAGATGCAGATATTCCATCGATCAATGTGTTCACGTCGCTTGTAGTTTATCATTGGCTTGTCTACCAATCTACAAGGAGCCTCTCTACTATGAGAATGCTTCATAAAGTCCTACGTGCATTTATATCTTTGTTGCATATTTGCTTGACAACGTTTCAGACTAACTTACATTTCTGTCAAACACAACGCGCGTATAGCGACTTCGCTATTCGTGATAACAACGAGATCGATGCTAACTAGCTACATGATAACATCTAGACCACATCTAAATTCTAACAGGAAAATAGTATTTGTGAATGTCCGCTGTACGCCATTGAATACCTTTGACCTCATTTGATCATCGTAAAGAGAGATTATCCATTCACGCACCTAGGAAAGACTTGGTGCTTTTAATGTCTGTAAGATTTCAGTGGTGAGCATTGTACGCAATGCTACCGCTCCAAAGCACAATCCTCAATTGTTTGGCTAGAGATTTGTATCGTAATGTAAACATTTACACTCTTGATGCTCCCTCGATGCCAGTCTATTATTCACTGCTGGCGGGCTCTATTATAGCTGGCTTTGCAAAAAACGTGACATGTTATACACGATCAGACAATTGGACCGTCTAGCGATAGAAGCGTTGCATGAACCGTGTTTGCCCTAATTACTGTAGTACTAACGGAAACATGCCGTCATTGGGTAAATTGATAAGCGGAAGTCGGCAATAACAAACGTTCGCAAAACGACACCACTAATTCAAAGACGTCCGTGCTGTGCTTGGCTAACCTCGCGGCTAATCCGGTCGCGATCACTTGCTCAGCTGTTCGGGCAATTTACAATGATGCGTAGCTATCCCTTGTGTCTGCACGCATATACAGGCATACGCGACTTCTTCAGCAAATCCACTTTCCACTCTATACATTCAATTTTATTTGTCGCTCAATTGTGATGGTACCAGTATTCCGTTGTTGGATTGTGATGCGTGACCCGGGTATGTCGACTTCTCACACCGTTGACACAAACGCCCGGCAGATGTAATCAATTACTGAATTGCCGAGTGGTGGGGTTAGCTTGGCAATTCTATAGCTACTCATTTCCCAAATTGCTGCCATATGTACATCGCCTGGAGGGAACAGCGTAAACAAAGAATTTTTTGTCATCGCGCTCAGTGGTCAAATAGCTAGTCCGACAACGGCATAGAACTAATAGAAAATATTATGACATCATAACAAGACTGAGCGCACGTCGTCTATATAAGCGACTTTGTTTATCTCATACGAGATTGTACGGCTTTATACTGCACATGTTCCTTTTCCATGCGATGTAGTTGCTGTTTCGGTCACATAGACGGGTTATTTCTTCATTGGTAGTTTGCGATTTGATAGAGTGCAAGTCATAAAGAGGATGAATCAAAGAAGCTCAACCATATTTATTTAATATATTTTTATTTCCTCCGTTCTGAGAAAGAGTTGCTCAACCTCATTCCTTCCTCTACTTGTACATTGTAGGTGTTGATTAAAAATGCACATTCGTATACCCTCACCTTACTGTTAGCGATTTTAGTTGCGGTGACATGTGCATAATGTATATTGCATATAACCATTAGGTGTATAGCTCTTTGGTAGAGTTATATTGTAAGATTAAAGCGTTATCGACGGAGCAACACATTCGCTCATTCTTTTGAGAGTGAAAATTCTACGGAGTTGGAGAGGTTTCAATTCTTGTCGTTGTCAAGTTGGATCTTGACTGACCATCACGATTTGGTGTTTGTCCGCCAACACTTCAATCTTACCAAGGTTACGTGCCGACAACCGCGCAATCGTTTTTTATTCTGTATTTGGCAAATCAGTTATTATATCGAAGATCGATTACAAGACGTTGAGAATAAAGTCCCCAGCCTTAGGTGAAAATTGTTATCTGTGGAGATAATGCACGAATCCGGTGGCTGAGGTTCGTTGGCTCGTGATAGTCATTCATATTTAGGTAGAAACTATGTGAAAACAACTAACTTCCCGGTTTTCATCCTATGCCGTAAGCCTGCCCTTAACCAAGCATTAGCTCCATGATATCGTGATGTAGACCATACAAGAGGTTACCAGTTGCCTTTTAATAAATCTACACCGTTGCACCTGGTTGCACTTCGTCGCCCATTAAACGATTTCCTTCGATTTACTTAACATGAACATAGTGCATAAGGGAGAAAGCCTACACGACATCGCAAAGCTACCAAGATTCGAGTAATACTGGGAGACATGCGGCTGAATGAATTGAGTTCTTTCCTATGCCACATCGCCAATATTGGAATGGGGGAATAATTGGCAGCCCAATATCCTGTCATCATAAGCGCCTACTATTATGAATAAAGTTTCTGCCGAAAAAAGAGTAGCCTTGCTTTATCATAAAAGATTTCAACAATCAGATCAGGTATGAGAATTTAGTCTGTAACAACTAGGGCCGGGTAAAAAGCAGCAATTAAATTCTGCTGTAGCAGGGCAGAAGCGTTTGCGTCGTCCCAAAACCTTGAAGATAGATTTCTCCAAATACAAAAAAGTCGAGGACGAATACCTGTTATTTTTTTTCGTCGACTTTGACGACGCCACTTGGTCCCTTCGCATTGCCGACGACGAGGTGTAGCTTGCATTCACCCATTCTGATTTGGTTGAGCAAGTCAAGGCTTGGGTCGAAGGTATGTAACTTTTCTATTAGAATAAAGTTGAGTCGTTAGAGGGTTAACATCGCATCAGATGAACATTAGAGACACTACGAGACGATTCCGAGCTTGTTCTGAGAATTCATATATCAGACTGGGTAATAGTAATAAGCGAGATTACCTGTAGCACGATAGACTACTCTCGAGCTGCATTACTGCCCATCTTGTATGTGAATCGCGCTAAAATAGATGTGTCTAGCCAGGGTCTTGCGGGTATTTCCGCCTAGACCCATCTATTCTGACTTTCACAATATTTGATAGAACAGGCGATAATAGTGGCGAAACAGAAAGAAGAGCTTGTTTGAGACAGGTTCATTCAAGTGTATCTCCGAAACGGCCATTTAGACGACGGAAACAATAGTTCCGGGATTTATGGACCTCTAAAGGGTGGATAGCAAGCGTCCATGCTATACTGGATTCAAAATATTGCAGATACACAATTGTTGTAAACGTTGGAGCATCGTCTACACATGCATTGCTTCAAAACCCATCTTACTGCACGGCGGGTATTGAAGGTAACCGATCTACGATTATAAAAAGAGCAGCGAAATTGGGTCCAACTTTATTGCAAGGTTGCTAGATTGACGCAAAATCATATCTTGCGACTAGGGCAAGTAGAAGCGGAGATCTTTGATAGTCCAACAAGGTAAAGAAATTTGGAAAGCCTCTTAGCTACAGTTGCTCCGACAATACTTTTACTGTGAATCGCTGCACCTGGTTATGGAGAATCTTTCATCACCTTAAAGTTAATTGTGATAGGGAAATTGTCACGTCATGCCCTAGTCGACTGGGGAAGTCGAATTATGCTATAACTTTTTCACTCGAATAAGTCGAGTTGACCGAAACATAAAGATTCATATTGAAGCTGTGTCCAAGAAACACATATACAGTTTTCATAGTCGAAACATGAAATTGCCGATTACCCAAACAGTCAGCCGATAAAGAACCAACTGTAGTAACGCTGCCACAGATAAAGAAGTCGAGATACTCCCCATGTATTGTAGGTTCCACACCTCTGAATGTAAATTTAAACGAATAACTCGCCCGAATACGAAGCCAGTAGATTTGTTGGATCTATTAAGACAATGGCGGCCTTGATGAATACGGGTCACATGTCAGCACTTGTACACTTGATCGGATAGCGCTATTGTAGTTAAGTAGTTGAGGTATATCAATCGCTGAATCTCGAACACAATTGGCCTTAGCGATATTTACGCAGCGTCAAAAACAAGGAAATCTATCCAAAAGTCGCATAGGGTGAGTATATCGCTGGTATTCGGTCGAAAATAGTACTTAGAACGAACAGATTATCAATAGATAACATATGGATGAAAAAGTGGTAGAGTGTTGATCACAAATTCCTTGTGGTACCGACTCTCTACTGACGCCCGGAAGACCGACTAATGGATGGGGCACTCCGATTCCGTGCTCTGTGTCTTCTTGCTCATTTTGTTTACCCGTCGGTGGGGCGGGTTGCGCTCTTTTTGATAGAACTGAGCTTAATCTGAACTTGACCGTTTTAGGGATAGGTGTTGATCGGGTGAAATTCTTCACCCGGTCAAACGTAGGG